GTGTGTGTGTGAGTGTGAGTGTGAGTGTGTGTGTGTGTGTGTGTTTGTGAGAGTGTGAGTGTGAGTGTGAGAGTGAGAGTGAGAGTTAGTGTGAGTGTGAGTGTCTGAGTGTGTGTGTGTGTGTCATCTATTCATGATTTGTTGTGGAAAGGTAAGAAAAACAAGCTGAGGCTGTACTACCTGTCCTGGCTGAGGAATAAGGTCTTGCGTAATGATCCGGAGGTGGAGAAGAAACAGGGCTGGACCTCAGTGGGGGAACTGGAAGGATGTGTGAGCTACAAAGTAGGTGAGTCCAGAACAAGACAACATTCACATATGTGTTTAATAGAGTTTGCCAACAAACATCTCAAGCAGCTTTACTGTGAACTCAGAGAGACATGCAAGGTAGGCCTACTATTAAAAACCTACGAAACATTTTAATTATAAAGCGTGACATTTATTATAATACACTGCATGGAAACACCTGGTGAGCTCAGTCCAGCACACTAGAGGAGAAAGCATCATCCAGTGCTGGCTGCCTGACCAACAGAAACTCTGGATCAAGCGTGGTGATTGACACACGATAAGAGCGCAGATTCAGATTTCAGTCTCATAACTGGTCACTCTTGCTCTAGTGAAAATCATGTAGGATGGAAAGGTTTGAGAAATGTCTTCCTTCTGTGTCATCACCATAAGTCATGATCTTTTACTCCACACTAACATCATGCTGATGATTTCAGTTCGCTACGAGAAAATCAAGTTCCTGGTCATCGCCCTGAGGAACGCAGTGGAGGTTTACGCCTGGGCTCCCAAACCGTATCACAAGTTCATGGCTTTTAAAGTAAGTATTTTATATTAGTAGGGATTTTATTTCATCTTTAGGCATATTGATTAACTGAGGAAATCTCTCAAAGGCTACCAAGAACATTTCTGGGTCATCATTTCAAAAATAAATTATGAGAAGAGAAAGAGAATGATATTTAATAATTAAGCAAATTAAATGATTTCTATTTTTAGTGTTCAAGTGTTTAAACTGCTTTTATTTTACATTTTTTTGATTGAATGAATTATTAGGTTTTTATCAACTCACTATACACTAATTACGTTTCTAACTACACTTTTCATCATGTAATCTGTAATCGGTAACAGACTACAATTTGTAAGTCATCTACTCATTTTTTTTTACTACGCCAGAAAAGCCAGACGTATAAAGCTGGTTATGTGATGCAAACATCAAACTGTTAGTTTACAAATCATGCACTATGGTAAAAGTGTTTTCAGCTCATTACGTAGTATTGCGCAGAAAACTTGAACAAAAATAAGTCTTCATTAATCAATAATCTGCCCCTGTGATCATAATTTGTGTAAAAAGTTGTTGGTGTTTTACTGACACTGGTGTTTATTTCAGCATGACTGAAGTGAAATGCATGTATATGTGTTTTTGCAGTTTTGCAGAGTCACATACTGTATTTCCATTGAGTCCGAGTTGAAAGTTAACTGGTTTCTGAGATTCACTGTACAGTATGAAAACAGTTGCTTTGGACCATGGCTAAGGAGGCAGTTACAGTCATAACTACCATACTTTCTAATATCATATTTCTAATTACCTGCTGTTTATAGGCTATTTCTAAATTGTTCCATTACAAAAAAATAGGATGGATTAATGATAGGTAATATAACTGGGGTGTTTTTAGAAATGGGTCATTTTTGAGTGCGTGTCCTACTTCACTGCGGTCCTGAGAGACTTACTCTACTTCTGACATGAACTTCTGCCATATAGACTTTATGAATTTACTCGGATTGTTGTCCTGCCCATTCTCTTGGAAATGCAAACATTGTGTGTTAGGGCTAGGGTTGAATGACCCAATCTCGTTCAAATTTGGTGCTGTTTCTTCAGAAACTGGCTTCTTCAGTTCGCTGTGGCAGTGGGTATCATATTTTGTCTACTGAAGTACTCGACAGATAAATGAAACGTGCACCTGAACAGGAGTAATAGTACAGATAATTAAAAAATCAATATCTGTGTCATTGCACATATGGGTCAGATGGACGTCTTGCATCAGCACTGTTATGAAATAGTAAAACTGCAAACTCAAAACATCAGAGCTCTCAAAGTCATTGTGTTTGATCATGATGTGAAGACTACGCAATTCTTCTGATGTTTTTGTTTGTTTGTTCTGTGTTTTGTCGTTCTTCTATAAGTTTTACGAGAGACAAACTCCTTAACATTAAGCAACACATCCCAGACAATATTTTTCCGGTTTTTGATTATTCAGACGTTTTGTTGGACATTCTAGTCAGTGGTACAGTGGTGTTGTTCAAACGCACGCTCAGACGTAGAAGAGGGAAGCATGCTGGTTAAGCTACGCAAGCGTGGCTTTCCAACTGCGCTCCCAAGCATTCATCTTGCGAATGTCCGTTCCCTTCTTAGCAAAACGGATGAACTAGTTCTTCTCCTCAACCGCATCAACAAGGACTTTTCAAACTCCGCTGCATTGTGCTTCACTGAAACCTGGCTGAGTGAAGCCATTCCGGATAACGCACTTCATCTGCCGGGCTTCCAGCTGTTCAGAGCGGATCGCATCGCATCGCAGAGTTAACAGGGAAAACGAGAGGTGGTGGATCATGTTTATATATCAACGAAAGATGGTGTTCAGATGTAACAACGCTGAAAAAGATATGCTCTCCTAACTTAGAGGCGCTCTTCATAAACTGTAAATCTTTCTACTCGCCGCGGGAGATTTCATCGTTCATTCTTGTGAATGTGTACATTCCTCCGGACACGTGTGTGAGCACAGCGCTGCAACAGCTGGCTGAACTAATAACTGAAACAGAGCAACAGTACTCGGACTCTCTTTTAATCATTCTTGGAGATTTTAATAAAGCAATTATCTCCCGTGAACTGCCAAAATACAGACAGCACGTTACATGTCCCACCAGAGACAGTAATATGTTGGATCACTGTTACACAGCAATAAAGGATGCTTATCGCTCTGTCCCATGGACAGCTTTGGGGCTCTCTGATCACTGCCTGGTTCATCTGTCCTACAGGCAGAAACTGAAATCAGCTAAACCTGTATTAAGGACTGTTAAAAGATGGACTAATGAAGCAGAGTGGGATTTACAAACCTGCTTCGACCTCACTGATTGGAGTGTTTTTGAAGCTGCTGCCACTCTAATACCGACCTACAGGCAGAAACTGAAATCAGCTAAACCTGTTTTAAGGACTGTTAAAAGATGGACTAATGAAGCAGAGCGTGATTTACAAGCCTGTTTCGACCTCACTGATTGGAGTGTTTTTGAAGCTGCAGCCACCGATCTGGACGAGCTCACAGAGACTGTAACTTCATATATCAGTTACTGTGAAGATATGTGCATCCCCACCAGGACATTCTTATCATTCAATAATGATAAACCGTGGTTTACTGGGAAACTCAAACAGCTTCATCACGCCAAAGAGGATGCTTACAGAAGTGGGGATAAAATCTTGTACAACCAGACCAGAAACAGAGATCAGATCAGAGGAGATCAGAGTGGCTAAAAAAGCTACTCTGAAAAGTTGAGAAAACAGTTTTCAGCCAACGATTCGGCGTCAGTATGGACTGGTCTGAAGAACATCACCTTGTACAAGACACCACCCCTACAGTCTGTGGAGAATCAACAACTGGCTGACGATCTGAATGTGTTTTACTGCCGGTTTGAAAAGCCCAGTCTCACACCCCCCACCTGCTCTGATCTACACTTCACTCATTCAACTAACTCCCCTGCAACCCCCCTCCCTCCCCCACCATTCAGCCTGCACTTAAGGTCTGTGTAGAGGATGTGAACCGGGTCTTCAGACGACAGAAGACTAGAAAAGCTTCAGGCCCAGATGGTGTTTCACCTGCCTGTTTAAAAGTCTGCGCTGACCAACTGGCCCCCATCTTCACACAGATCTTCAACAGATCATTGGAGCTGTGTGAAGTTCCCTGCTGCTTCAAACGCTCCACCATCAATCCAGTCCCCAAAATCACTGGACTTAACGACTACAGACCTGTCGCTCTCACGTCTGTGGTCATGAAGTCATTCGAGCAACTAGTTCTGGCCTACTTGAAGGACATCACTCGACCCTTGCTGGATCCTCTTCAGTTTGCCTACAGAGCAAGCAGGTCTGTGGATGATGCAGTCAACATGGGACTGCATTATATTCTGCAACACCTCGACAGACCTGAGACTTACACAAGGATCTTATTTGTGTACTTCTGTTCGGCCTTCAACACCATCATACCTGACCTTCTCTCAGACAAACTCACACAGCTCTCCGTGCCCACCTCCATCTGTCAGTGGATCACCAGCTTTCTGACAGACAGGCAGCAGCTAGTGAGGCTGAGAAACTCACATCCAAGACTATCACCATCAGCACTGGCGCCCCTCAGGGATCTGTTCTCACCCCACTGCTCTTCTCCCTGGATACAAACGGATGCACTGCAACTGAGCACCAGAACTGCCAGGCACAAGAACAGTTTTTTCCCGCAGGCTATATTCAGCCTGAACAATTAAAACTTTCATAACTATATATTGTCCATTATAACTGACTCATTTATATATAGCATCTGAAAATTGTACATTTGTAAACTACATAAACTGTATACTTGTAAATAACATAACTGTACATTCATTAAAACAATTGTTTTTTCTCTATATTTCTACTTCTGTATTATATTGCATTTTTTAATTTTCTGTTTTTTTATGTTAGCGTTATATTTCATCATTTCATCATTGTGTGTGTGTGTGTGTGGTTCCATTCACGCGTCACAAATGAACTGCACATATCTAGAACATGTATGGGTGTGTTAGGTTAAAGAATGTGGCTGACAGAAAACCTCCAGTGTCTTTACACACCACAAAGAAAAAAACTGAATAATGAATATTAAAAAAACATGATTTTTATATGATTTTTAACATGACTTTTATATTCATGTTTTTTTCCCCATAACCGAGTTGTTGTGCATGTGTGTCAGTCGTTCAGCTTGCTGCCCCAGAAGCCCCTCTCAGTCGACCTGACGGTGGAGAACGGACAGAGGTTAAAGGTCATCTACGGGTCTCACTCTGGGTTTCATGCTATCGATGTGGATTCAGGGACGCCCTTCGATCTTTACCTGCCCAGTCATGTGAGTATTCTTCACATTTCTGGCACATTTCACATCAATAAAACCTGCAACAAGTTTAATAAGTGAAGTACTGCTGTTACATTGTGAATAAATCTCTACTGTTGCAAGTTTGAACTGTCATCATCTGTGTGCACATTCACATTAGCATTCACTCTCTGCATGGGAAATTTTTTGGGATGTGCTAGCATGCTAGATAGCGGAGTAAACCTGGCAATAATCAGCTGTAACGCTGTTATAATATGCGTTCCAGTGTTGACTGCACTGATGGTGGGGCAATGTATATCTGCCACCTTTTATAGAAATTATAGTTTTTTTTGTGCTATATTTTGTTGGTAGCCTGATGCAGTTTGTTTAGTCACTTTGGCACTAATTTCAGAGCATTGATGTCATTTTTCAAAACTCCCAACAAAACTCACACCGTTCACACGTGTAACACAGTGTTCACATTGTGCTTTCATATCGCTAAAGAAACCTCGACCTTGCTGAACCATTTGTTCAAAGAACTAATTTATCATCATGAAATACCATAGAAACATTCATTTAGGTAAATGCATCACTGCAAGAGAGAATAATACAGACACAGTCAATCAGTGAACAAATTCAGACATTTACAGTATTGATGAAATATAATCAAATAGGTTTATTTGAATCAAATCAAAGAAAAAACTACAGTACAGTAAAACAACAAGTGCATTACAAGAGCCTGCAGACATAATGTCAGATCTGAAAACATGGTCTGGAAAACTGGTATTTGGGACCACAGAAACAGTGCTGATGTAGTCCAGTTGGTTCATGTTCAATGGTAATTGGTGTCAGTGGATCCTATTATTCTGAAACATGATCTTCATGACACTCAATGCAACAGTTATCATTTTGAGCAGTTGTTTCAGTTGATGGTTCGATCAACAACAGTGTTGATGTTGCAAAATTCATCAAATATGATAAAAGTCAATAGTGTCACTCTCCAGCTAAATTCAGTTCAAGTTTTATTCTCATCTGAAATGAAGAAAAAACCTTGAGAGAAGCCAGGCTATTAAGGGGTAACATTTCAAAACCATCACATATAGATTTGTTGCACCTTTTCTCACAAGGAATCAAAATTATTTTTATTGTGGGGTTAAAGATTCACCCTTTGTTTCATGAGATTCACCCTTAAACAAAAGCATGCAACTGAAAATGCAGTGACCTGAAAAAATTGCACGCATTTCTTTTCTGCCAAACACTACAATTTAGAGCTTGTATAAATATGCACAGCATGTATAACATAATGTTGTGATGCTATAGAGCTGCGTTTTCTCCGCTGCTGACGTCCCCACACTCCCACACAGCCGCGTACCCTTCACAGAGAGGAAGAGCGATGAGTGTGGTGTTCACCCACGGCTCTGCCGCCCCCTCCAGCACCGGCCCACACTCCAGTGAGCCGTCCCACATACTTACAGACTAGTTCATCCTCACAATCTGTGTGTGTGCTAGTTTCTCCGAACTGATCTTGTGTCCAGAAATAACTCTGCAAGCTTCGCTACATTCCCAGAGCATAAGCCCATTGAAATGACCTGTTATTTGACAGTTTTTTTTCTAATAACAGGCAGTAGATAAATTTAGCGTGAACTAGTGGTGAGAACAGAACTGGAGGCTGGGCTGCACTAGATCATGTAGCTTGCCATACCAACATTTTCTCATCCATTCCCTCCCATTCTGTCGTTCATCCGTTCTGTCACTTTTCCACATTCTCTCACACACACACACGCGTTGCATTTTTTTCATCTTCCACACAGTTGTCTTTCACTTGCACACAGTGATTAGCAAACTCTTTCTTGCGCTCAAGCTGCTCTTTGTGTGGTGTAAATCTGCCTCTCCCACTTGGAAACACACGCTCTCTGTTTGTGGCGGCGTGTTTGCGTGGCTGGCGCTCATGAAAATCCCGCGGCAGAGGATAAAGATCGCTCTGCGGCTCTGGATGCCCGTGTTGATGCTCAGGATTGTGGTGGCTCTACAGAGGGACGGCAGCACAGTGTGCGTGGATTTATTTCTGAGTCAGGCAAGTACAGTGGGAGGCGTGTGATTGTGTTAATGACAGGCATGTAAGTACAAACCACTGAGAATATCTGTTCTAATGCTTTGCTGTCATGAGCTTGGGAGACATGCATGCAAAAAATGGTTAGGAAAATGTTTTATATTAGCTTAACGCATACTGCGAATTTTGATATTAAAACCCTAAAATGTGTTTACCCTCACTGTAACTGAATAAACAGACTTACATGGTTAGTGCATTTACGTAATTAGTGGTGTGTGATAAGGACTTCATCTTCATTTTATGAACACTAAAGTAATGACTTATTTCAGTTGTTACTATTGCTCTTATTGATTTGAACAAGCCCTTAACACTAATTAGGGATGCATGATATCCGATATGCTGGTACTTTTTAACTCATTTTGGTCGATAGCCGATGCAGATACCGATATACTTTGTTTTGTTTGGAAAGAACACCAAGTCTTTCCTGTGCAGAGATTTTAAACTCATTATTTTTAATTCTGGCATTTTATTTGTAGATTTAACATTTGTAAAGCAAAAGAGCTGTAAAAATTCTGAAAATCTTTTAGAGCGCCTTGTATTTAAGTTTTCATAATTTGTTAAAAAATATAGTACACATTAATGAATACATCTGTATATATAAAATTATTTAATTTGCAAGTGTCAGGTTTGTGATTTTTATTGATGTAAGCTATAGCTTCTGACCTTTAAATCAAAACAGACTCATGATTTTATGACATTAGTTACTGCTTTATATATTCAGAATCACAATCCTAATGTTATTTGTGTATTTTACATTTAATTTTATTACAAGTAGGCCAACAGCGCCCCCTAAAAAAATTAAAGGCATTAAGAACCGGGGGAGGCTGCTGCTGCTGCTGCTGAACACACTAGAAGAGATATCATGCCTAGGGGGAGGACAGAAAGCAAAAATGCACTACAAACCTCTCTAAACACTGAAGCAACGCTCTGGCAACCACCAAGTACAATATTCTAAACTTTAACCCTGAGGACCCATGGCTCTGCACAGTTTTGTATGTCTTCCTTATTTGGTCTAGAGCACCATAGCAATTGCATGGCATTGCACTAAAAACCTCTCCGTGGCTCAGCCTTGACTTTGTTCACAGAGTCAGCATTTGGGATTGACGCATTTACATATCATCATGTTTAATTATCATATCAGTTGTGCTGTAGGGTAGTCCATTAAGAAGGTGACAGATGGGTATAGGCGTAGATAAGAATAATCCCAACAGTGCCTTTTTTGATCAGATAGGTGTGCTATTTACAAATAGGTGAGGAGCAGAATAGAATAAATAGAAATAGAAATATATATATATATATATATATATATATATAAATAGAAATATATATATATATATATATATATATATATGCTAAACATAGTACACTCTGTTGTTATTTGTGAAGAACCAAGAAAATGTAAACAGTAGAAAAAATTATTTAGCTTTAACAACTCACAGATGCCCTCCTCTCTGCAGGAAGGCTGGGAGAGTCTGCCTTAAACTATATTCGCGGCAGAACAGGTACTGGAATAAGCCAAATCTACAATAGAGTTAAAGTTGAAAATGCGTTAAACAAATGTCTAAAGAAGAAACTAACAACAGTTTAAAAAATATATGGTGAATGTAAAAATATGAAACTGTTTTCATACATGACACATTTGTAAAATTATAATAACACCCAGTTGGTAAAAAAATGCACAGCACAACCCAGAAGTGGACAATAGTGGCCATGCCATTTTATGAAGTGAAGTGACATGAAGGCCAAATATGATTACTCATACTTGGAATTGTCCTCTGCATTTAACCCATCCAAGGTAGTGCACACACATTAGGAGCATTTAGAATGTCAGAGGAGAGTCATAACCTTTACATGGACCATAAGAATCATTCAAACCATAAAAATACATAATAAAGGGCCAACTGTAGGTGTAATGTCCTTATTTCGTAATAAAGAAAGAAAACCATGACAAGGAACTTAGGAAACAAAAGGGCTATATATACACGGGTAGCAAAGCTAACTAGATATGGCTGAAAACAATATGACTAACGAGAGAGAGAACAGGAAACAGGAACTAAACAGAAGTACGAACTAAAAGAATTTATAAAACAAGAGCACAGAGCCCCCTACTTAAGGGACAATTCATGACACCCCTAAACACACAAAAAAACAAGTCCAGGAGGCTGATCGAACTGAGGGGTACTAGGGAGAGGGATTAAGGGACAGGACCATGAAGTGGAAAAAAACCTGGACAACACGGGGTCCTGATGGAGCAAGGGACCAAGGCGGAGCCGGTGGAGATGGAGATCAAGGCTGAGCAGAAAGTGGCTGGGGATCAGGAGACCATGGCGGAGCAGAAAACCACTGATCAGGAGGCCGTGGTGGAGCAGACGACCACTGGGGATCAGGAAACTATGGTGGAGCAGAAGATCCCTGGGAATCAGGAGACCACTGAGGAGTTTAAGACTACTGGGGATCAGGAGACCATGGCGGAGCAGAAAACCACTGATCAGGAGGCCGTGGTGGAGCAGATGACCACTGGGGATCAGGAAACTATGGTGGAGCAGAAGATCCATGGGAATCAGGAGACCACGGAGGAGTTTAAGACTTCTGGGGATCAGGAGACCATGGTGGAGCAGTAGACCAAGGTGGAGCGGGCAGGGCTGTAGAACACAGTGGAGCTGAAGTCCACCAGGGAGCCACAGTGGATCCGGTGGAGATGGAAACCATGGCAGAGCAGAGACCGGAAACTCAGGTGAATTCAGAGACAGCACTCCTAGCCGTGATAGAACAGACAATGGCAGTGACAGGGTGAGCAGCTCAGGTGGCTCCAGGGCTGGAGTGGACTCTGGGACAGTCTTCCCAGCTATGGCAGAGAGTTTGAGAGCAGATGCCACTGCCTTTGAGGGAGCTGCAGCAGATGTTATTGCCTCTGTGCCAAAGGTGTCAGACAGGGAAGTGTGTGGGGCCCACACACTCAAGACAGTGGCAGACATCATCTAAAGCACTGAGGACATTGAAAGGACCTCCAGGACCACCAGACCTGGGACCTCCGGGACCACCAGACCTGTTAACCTCCTGGACCACCAGACCTGGGACCTCCAGGACCACCAGACCTGTTAACCTCGGGGACCACCAGACCTGTTAACCTCCTGGACCACCAGACCTGGGACCTCCAGGACCACTAGACCTGTTAACCTCCAGGACCACCAGAGGTGTTCTACTGAAGAAACAAAGTCACCTACATTTTGGATGCCCTGGGGGTAAGCAAATAAACATCAAATTTTCATTTTTGGGGGAACTATCCCTTTAACCTCTAGGACCATCCAGGACAGGGACAGGGAAGTGTGTTACTCCCATGCCCGCCAGAGTGAGGCCACTTGGGCCTCGCTTCGCTCGAAAAAGCCCCTGGAGCTCAGCTTTCATGGTTACGGAGAACCAGAGTAGGGGGTGCCATCTTACTCCCATGCCCGCCAGAGTGAGGCCACTTGGGCCTCGCTTCGCTCGAAAAAGCCCCTGGAGCTCAGCTTTCATGGTTACGGAGAACCAGAGTAGGGGGCACCATCTTACTCCCATGCCCGCCAGAGTGAGACCGCGTGGGCTTAACCTCCAAGACCACCAGATCTGTTAACCTCCAGGACCACCAGACCTGTTAACCTCCAGGGCCACCAGACCTGCTAACCTCCAGGGCCACCAGACCTGTTGACCTCCAGGACCATCAGACCTGGGACCTCCAGGACCACCAGACCTGTTAACCTCCAGGACCACCAGACCTGGGACCTCCAGGACCACCAGACCTGTTGACCTCCGGGACCACCAGACTTGAGGCAGTGGATGCTGCCTCTGTGCCTGACAGAGGCAGAGACACATGCATGGCACACACAGGATGGTGGTAGCATCATCGAAAGCTCTGAGGACATTGGAAGGACCTGCGGAACCGCAAGACCTGAGACCTCCAGGATCACTGGACATGGGACCGCCGGACTACACAGAACTCTGATATTGAAATACTATGTACATTATTTATTTATCAATTTATTTTTTAAGATGCAACATCTGATTTGACTTTGTATTAAATTTCTTGTGATATGAATTGATATAGGTTTCATTTGCTTGTCTATCTTGCAGATAGTTTTTTCTTGAATAGAACACATTAATTTATAAACAATCAGTTGGTATATAAGAACAATAAGTACTTTGTTTCATCAGGGGTGCCTCTTAGCTTGATATTACAACCTAATATATGTAGCTGTATGTTATTTATGACAATTTATTTGACAAAGTGCTTGTCCTTCCAATTTACAAAGTTTGCATCTCTAAAAATGTTGTTATATGTGCTCCTTTGTTTAAAAAAAAACATAATTAAATTGACTTTAATTAAATGTAAAATGTACTTTCATGTAATGACCAGGTGACCTGCTGTATTATGTGCTGTGACCACCAGTAAATGTACTTAATCTCTTTATAACGGAATGTCTGTGTGTTTCAGATCCAAGGTGTGATTCGGCCGCATGCCATCATCATCCTCCCCAGCAGCAGTGGGATGGAGCTGTTGGTGTGTTACGAGGATGAGGGAGTCTATATTGACACCTGTGGCCGCATCACCAAGGAGACGGTGCTGCAGTGGGGGGAGATGCCCGCCTCTGTGGGTGAGCTCCAGCACTCCACACACACACACACACACACAAAGACAGACGTGCAGTGATTATCCATGTGTAATGCAGTATGGATGTTTTCCTCATTGTTTGACTCTCATATGTAGCTGTCTGATTGTGTTCTGGCCGTGAGCTATATTACTCCTCTAGAGGTGCACTCATATTAAGGAAGTTCTCGTAATGACTGATGTGCATGAGATTCTAAATGCGAAAATGCTAAACATTTGGATGGATGAGTCATCTCACTTCCTACATAGCAGCAGATCTGTGAGGAGCTCCAATGTTAAAGCCTGTTCACAATAAAGACACTAAGGTTCTCCAAATCCACACCACAACTAGAACGATGCATTTATCTTCTGAGAACATAATAATATGCTGATATCATTATTGATCTTGCCTGTTGCCTTTACGAGAACATTCACTGCATCTTCATTCCATCATCAGTTTCTAGATTTCAGGACTGAAAAAAAAAATCAGGATCTATATATTTTTCTAGTCTATATTGTAATTGATCCAACACGCCTTCAGTGGATTCCGGTGTGAGACAGTATGTTTCATGTTGGAAATGCTGTAGTCAGTTTAATAAACAAGAGACGCAGTGCTCAACATTAAAACAGCGTTTCTTAGAAGAGGCTTCAAGACAGCTTCATCTCTCAGTTGTTTCCATCTGCAAAGTGTCTAAATACGTTTTTTTGTTTGACGTATGACTACTGAACTTGGAGTAGCATGATGTAAATGAACATCCAAAGTTACCCACAAATAATGCTTTTTCAATCAAAAACAGGTGCATGAGGCCTCCGATCAACCAGTTCCAAAAACAAACACACAACCTCTGATAATATAGCATCATAAGTCATGAATCATGTATAAATCGATTAATGATGAAGAGGATTTTTTTTAAAGCTACTCGGCCGAGCTGATCACTGTTCGTATCGTTCAGATCAATATGCAGATGTGGTGTTGAAACTGGACTCATTCTTGTTCAGATTTGCTGATGTTAACAAACACAGTTTGTTCCAGATCATCTCAGCTTTACTGAACTGAATAAGCTGGCGGTGTTTATTCGTGGCTCTGGTTGATGTGATGTTGTTGTTGATCTGCAGCTTACCTTCAGTCGAATCAAGTGATGGGATGGGGAGAGAAAGCCATCGAGCTGAGGTCCGCCACGACTGGCAGTCTAGAGGGAGTCTTCATGCACAAGAAGGCTCAGAAACTCAAGTTCCTGTGTGAGAGAAACGATAAAGTGAGAAAACATCTCTATATGCTTGTGTAATATCACATTTAGAAATGCAGGACATTAGGGATGCATGATATTGGATTTTTGCCGATATCCGATATGCCGATATTTTTTAAAAATCATTTTAGCCGATAACCGATGCTGATACCGATATATATTTCCTTTTGTTTGGAAACAACGTAACGTCTTATAAATTATAAACACATTATTTTTAATTTTGGTTAGTTTTGAGCAAAAAAAAAAAACATTTGTTAGACCTAATAAACATTATTAAAGTTCTTTTTTTTTTAATGAGAGTACATTGAAAGCTTTGAAAATAACTATAATAAAATCAATCTCTGCTGTTTTTTTATTAGTATTATTATTTTCAGACAGATGCAGTTGAAACCTTAACATTTTATTGGTAGATTTAACATTAATAGATGGTATAAAGCAAAACAAAAAGCTGTAAAAATTTAAGACAATCTTTTAGAGCTCCTTGTATTTCAGTTTTCAGAATCAATTCGAAAAAATATATTCCACATTAATGAATAAATCTGTATATATATATAATAATTTAATTTGCAAGTGTCAGGTTTGTGATTTTTATTGGATGTAAGCTATAGCTTCTGACTTTTAAACCAAAACAGACTCATGATTTTATGACATTAGTTACTGCTTTATATATTCAGAAACACAATCCTAATGTTATTTGTGTATTTTACTTTTCATTTTATTACAAGTAGGCCAACAGCACCCCCTAAATAAATTAAAGGCATTAAGAACCGGGGGAGGCTGCTGCTGAACGCACTAGTGCTTTATATATTCAGAAACACAATCCTAATGTTATTTCTGTTGTTATCACTAGTGACTGTTGACTGTCGCACACCGGACGCGCTATTCTGTATATGCATTCTCAAAATAAATGGCATGATTCAAAACAGACAATCTTATGTTTTAAGCCTTTATCGGCCGATTCCGATAACGTTCCGATAATATCGTGCATCCCTACAGAAAATCTCTACAGATTATTCTACCAGAACAAAGAACTATTATAAGCATCATAAGCATATAAATGGCTAAAAAGCATGACACATGAAGCATAGAAATGGAAAGCGTGTGTGTGTGTGTGTCTGTGACTCTGTGTGTATGTGTGTGCAGGTGTTTTTTGCGTCGGTGCAGTCGGGTGGATGCAGTCAGATCTACTTCATGGCGTTAGGACAGAACTCTCTCTTCAGCTGGTGATCGTCTTCATTCACAGGCTGTTCCTGATAGAAGCATCCAAATGACAGAGTACACACTCCATATCGCATAACCAACCATCTGTTCATTCAAACTCTCATTTTTTTCTTTTCAATTTACTGTATTGACATGTAAACATCTTTAATAGAAGTGATATATATATATATATATATATACATATTGTATGATTTAATACATGTAAAATAATTGATATATTGCGTTGTCTGACAGTGTCAGCTTTTGTCTTGATCTGTGCTTGAAACATAAACCTTGTTTTGTATTTTAATTGTATCCTTGTCAAATCTTGCAAAAAGGACTTAATATTTTGTCCCTAATTATTTTATTGTATAATAACAACCATGGCTGGTACACGGTGAAACCAATACTAACAGCTAGCAGAGTAACTGTCAAATATTGTAACATCTTTTGGGGGAAATATGCCGACAATTCAGAATAGAAATGATTGATTACTGATGACTGAAATCATCCGATAACTGCAGACATTCAGCTTTCATTTCACAGGCTTAAAGTAAAAAAAAAAAAATTATAATAACAAATGTCAGCTTATGTTTATTGTTTTTGTTTATTATAGCTCTCACTGTATTAAAACACAAACATAACTGGACACGTTATCATGATAAAAGCGATCTAATAAAAGGTTGTTTAGTTATTGGTTGCAGGTCTTTTGCATGCAGACTAAACGATAAACGTGAACGTGTGTCGAGAAGAGAGTTGTGACGCAGGTGACTGTTGGCTCTCGACTTTAAATCAGGAAAATGAATGGAGCAAAGCAAAGCAGCAGGAAGTGGAGGATGATGGTATGAAAGAGTTAAAGAAAGTCGAAATGTTGGAAATCAGAGAGAAGTGTGGAGTTTGGGATCAGATGGATGGATGAAACAACGGTGCATTGAAATGTTATATTTCTGCACTCAAAACACCTGTGCTTGTAAAGATGCAATGCTTCTGAAGCACCTGCACTTCACATCACTTGTATAGACTAACTTGCTTAATACTGCTGTTGTAGTTCCACACATTATTAATTTCACTCATTTATTGACAATAAAACTAAAAATGGCACCCGAAGGGTTGATTTTACACTAGAGAACAGACATTTTGTGAGCATTATCATTTGCAGCAAAATACTGTCCGTCACAATGCTGTAATCCAACAGACCATCTCAGTACATGGACAAGATGAGCGTTAAGAAGAGCTCCACACACAACAGTATCATCAGACAGCTATTATTGAATTGTATTGTGTAGTGGTTCAGGAGTGTCGTGTAATTCTTTGCTCCATTAGGAAACCATTGGGAATCTGATGCTCAGATCAGCTCTGTTGCTCATCAGTTCAATCACACTCTGCTCATAGAAAGGCGTGTTTTTTCGTTTTTTTCCCTCTATTGGGACGTGTCCGAGTGTATTCTCAACCGTGCCTTAATGTGCTCTGAATGCTGTCTGGCTTGTGTGTGAGACATGATGAATGTTTTAACATTAAAATGTCCTGCCATAGTCGGTTTCTGTGCGCTTTGGGTCAAACTTTAAAAGTCAATACTGCACTTTAACAACAGAACATTTTAATTTAATTAAAAGCTTTTTTCTTTGTAATAGTGATATTTGACTGACATGTCCTGTACTGTACATATTCTGAATACTGCGTTTTATAGACAGTTTATTATCAAGCATAATAGGAAGTTCCATATACTCATTGCATATACAGTGTATGTTGTGTGCCACATGAAGGAATTGAGCCAAATAAATGCTTTAAGAATAGACCACTCAGTATGTCTTTGTTCATATCTGCTACATCAGCACAAACCTTCCATACAAACATCATAATGTACACAACATATGAAATATTACATGGTGTTCCACAAGGATCAGTTCTTGGGCCAGTTTTATTTTCCTTTTATTTTCCCTCCCTTTATTATATCCCTTTGGGCAGCATTATTCAGAAATATGACATGAACTATCATTTTTATGCTGATGATATACAATTATACATTTCAGTTGAGTTCAGAGGCACTGTTGTATTAGAGAGGCTGTCTGTCTGTCCAGCATTGTAAAGTGGATGAACAAAATGTTTTTTTTTTAATTGAACGGAGATAAAACTGACATTCTTATTGTGGGCCCAAAACACGACTTATGATAAACGTTTTTTCGACTTACGTTATGCGTTTTATTAGACCGGTGACGACTGCACACAGTAGCATTATAACAGAACTTTCAAATGTATCTAGTATGATAAAAGTGCTGCTTTACCCCACATACGCACGACCGGAAGGAGCGGAAGCGGTCGACTGTGGCATAATAAAAGCTCCGCTGCTAGTATGTCACGCTCGTTCAGCACCTCGTTTCGCTTCGACGGCTTTCAGCCTCACCCTGCTTCATTCAACTACGTTAATAAATCATTAGCTCCAAACACACACACACAAAAGTTTTTTTTTATGGAACAGTTTATTGAATCTTTACATCCATAGAAAAAGACAAACACACTAATTTTGCATATGTGTTTTTTGTTGAGTATCATATTTGATCCATCAGATTGTATGGATCATATAGCCTGATATAGTGAGAATATGGAAGAAAAAAAACAAGGTCCAAACTGACCAAAACTATGCAATTTGGTGCAGATGCTGATATTTATATGACCAAAAAGTTATGAGATTCTAGTGTTTGTAATGTAAATCAATGATATCTTTATAACAGTAGAGCAGATACTGACACAAAATGCTATAAATATCACTCATTGCTCTATATCTCCAGTAATCTGTCTCAGTAAGATGAGATTGAAATGATCCAAACATATAATGCAGTGATTGAGAGCTGAAGAAATAAAGGCTCCTCAGAAGATGTGAGATGTTCTGGAGGCTTGTGAAGACCATTCCTCCGCTGAGGAACAGTGAAAGTAAAGCTTCTGGAAACAAACGCTCCTCAAAAGATCCTGAGGATCAGATTTGAGACTCTAAAACATGATTGATGGAGAATCAAGTAAAGCTGAGCTGCTTCAGTCCAGTAAGAGTTCATCTGGAGATATTACTGCAGTTATTCTGACGTTTACTTGAGAAAAATCAGTCAAGATTTGACACGTGAAGCTTGAGCTGAAGCAATTACACTAAAAGAGCTTTGACTGGATAAAAACAAACTATCAATCAGATGACAGAATGCATGCAGTAGATTGAGTGCGACAGGTTTAACAGCAAAGTTTTGATGACGTTCGTTTATTTAGATCCTTAGAACTTCAAATCAAATACGAAAGAGTAGCTAAAATATCATTGTTTCTGCTGAGTTTGGGCTGACAGATGAGCTGGAGCAGCTCTTGAAGGGTTTCGTTCTCCGTCATCAGATCTGTGTGTAGTTTGAGAAGCACAGAGGTTTTAAACACCAGCTTCAGACCGGTCTCCTCATTCAACGGAGCAAACATCTAGGATGCAGAACTTGGCCCTGCAGGTGGGACACGGGACCCTGCTGCTGAGCCATGTCTCCGGCTGCTGCTGGTCCTGGCGACTGGCAAACCATTTGCCCATACAGGTGAGACACCACATGGGCCGGCAGTAGCACTGCTGACACTCTCCCTCACCGTCACACAGACGCAGCAGCTTCACGCCGGCACTGACCTGCATACAGCCGATACACGGCTCCAGCTCCTGACGGCACACAGCATGCAGGACAGCGCTCATTAAAACACATTAACATCAACAGTCTCCAGCCAGTTCAGGTGCTTTGCTTCATTCAGACAGACAGATCCACTAATATCCCATGAAGCATTGCGAGTAACACGCTCCAGTCAGTCTATGACATTCACACTTACACTAGCAGTCAAACGTTTTTGAACAGAAAGGTTTTTAAAGAAGTCTCTTCTGCTCACCAAGCCTGCACTTATTTGATTAGAAATACAGCAAATGCAGTAAAATTGTGAAATATTTTTACTATTTAAAATAACTGTTTTCTATGTGACTCTCTGTTAAACTGTAATTTATTGCTGTGATGCGCAGCTGTATTTTCAGCATCATTACTCCAGTCTTCAGTGTCACATGATCTTCAGAAATTATTCTAATATGCTGATTTGCTGCTTAAGACGCATTTCTGATTATTATCAATATTGAAAACAGCCGAGTATAATTTTTTCAGGTTTCTTTGATGAATAGAAAGCATTTATCTGAAATAGGGATGCGCCGATCCGATATTCATATTGGGTATCAGCTCCGATAGTGCCATTTTTCTCGGATCGGGTATCGGTCAGAGAGGGTCGATCCAAATCCGAGAAATCCAAGACAAAATATAGTTTTTTCACTAAATGTTTGGATTTCTAAAATTATTGTGCACTGATTTTTCTAGAATAACTTTTGCTGCCGAATTATCCACTAACCTAGTTTATGATAAATTTTTGTCATAGATTATAAATATACATAGGCCTATATTTTTTCATATTTATTGTTTATTTTTATTTATAATGAAGTAGTCTGTATTTAGTAGATTGTGAAAGAATGATTATCAGTTCCACACACAGAGATATATAAATTCTACATTTATTTAAATGAGGGAAAAAAAACTTCACTGGTATCGGATCGGAATCGGTATCGGCCAATAC